GACGCTGGCTAGGGGATTCTGGGAGTTGAAGTTGCTGAGGTTGTGAAACACTGGTCTATGGGAAAGTCCATTGGGGTCCTCAGAAAGGGCTTCCCCAAGGCCCTTGTGAGCTCACTGCCTGAGGAGGATGGTCCCATACCCATTCATATCCTGAGTGCGAGCCCTGAGCTCTGACTAGATCTCCAGGCTGCATTGCTTCCTCCCATAGATGCACACTTATATCTACTTCTAATAAGTTTTTGTGCAAATTTCCTCAGTATGTGAGGGGAAGGCAGACTAGTGGGTGTGTGCGGTGTAAGGTGAATGTTTCTTGGCAATAATAGCGGGCTTAGCTCTTTTGGGGTAACTGTGCTGGTGAAGACTCAGCAGCCCCAAATTAGGAGAAGTCTGGTTGCATCTTTTCCAGCTATTTATTTATTTTTTTATGCTGCCCATCCTCCCCCAGAGGCTTCCACATTTTGTTCAAGGGCACCATGTGCAGCTCATGAAAGCTTCTGCCTTTTCATTCCATCTGCTAGTCAGAAAAGGGGCAACCAGACTCCTGATGTTTGGCTTTCGTCGACTAACACAGCTGTCCTCCTACAAAGTCTGCAGCTGGGACAGGTGGATCTAGAGCAGTGTTGTCCAAACTTCCCCACCCCATGGCTGGCTGGGGAATTCTGGGAGTTGAAGTCCACTCATCTTAAAGTGGCCAAGTTTGGACAACACTGCTCTAGAGGGAGGGTGGGCTGTAGAGGTGGGGTGTTTCTCGTGCTGCCCAGCGTGAGCAGGCACTTCTGGGTTCTGTCAGTTAAAGGACCTCTTCTGTGCTAAAGAGAGTGTGGGCGGGTGGGACCTTTTCCTTATACCCTCCAGCCCTGGGAGGATCAGGTTGGGAAAGGCTCCTATCCAGGATGAATACAGTGAAGCGGGGGGTGGGGGGTTGCAATTCGACTTTCCCTTACGAAAGAACGATGGCACATGCCACAAACCTGCTGCAAATGCAAGTTAAGCCTTAACATGCAGTTTTGCTTATTTAAACATTTCTGCTCCTCCTTTCCAGAAAATGTCTATGGAACGAGGGGGGGCGGTTAGAGAATTCCTGGGGGTCGTTTCCTGTTCAGTTTGCACCCAAGTGCACTCCTGGTCAGTCCCTAGATCCAGATCAGAGCTAGCAAGAAATACAGCTGGATGTTTGTTGATTAAGCATCAGCAAATATCCAAATCAGTTAACTGACAAAATGGGATAAAAGGTAGGAGGGGAGAGAGAGAGATAAACAGGCAAGGATTTAAGCTGTTTATCTATCTGGCCAGAACTTTCCTGAGCTAGAGGAAGCAATTCTGTGGGTAATCAGCATGGACACCCTGCCCCCAGGGGAGTGAATAGCCTTTAGCTATTTCAGCTTTAACCCTTTTGTGGTCATAAGGATAACAGAATTGAACTGGAAAGTAGGCCACTAGGTGATCCCTCCTCTGTTCTGCACCACGAAGGAAACCATTTGGTGGGCAGAGAGGATGGATCTAATGCTAAGAATGTTTAACAAATGCAGGCAATAAGCCCATTAATGAAAAAAAATCATCTCTAGAGCCAGTGAATGGAAAAGCAGCAGAATGTCTGTCTCACCAGCTTCTAAATCCAAAGCAAGGAAATCACTGGGGAGAGAATGCCCTATTTCAGTCTCCCCCCCCCCACACACACACTCATTCCCCATCTTATAAGGGCTATTCTGTGCCTTGTGAAGTTAGGTGGTGGTTTGTTAACTAAGGCAGCCACCTTCAATCCGGTGCCTTTTAAATATGCTGGACTTCAGATCCCTTAATTCTAAGGAGGGAGGGCGTACTGTTAAACCCAGGCCCAAGGAGATCATTTCTGAACGGCATGCCTTGGATTTTGGTTGGACTTCCTCGGAAAACATTCCTTGAGATACCGGTGGGTTGGATTATTGATAAGACTCCGAAGCATTAGATTTCTCTGAGCAAAACTTTCTGATGTTTGTGCTCAAGCAGGTAGCCGTATTTTTGAAAGCCTTTTTTCCCCCCCGTGACCTTTAATTCGTTTGTTTCCTTGCAGTTAACATGGCGTCCAGTTCAGACTTTCCTTCCTATGACAACACCGCAAGTTCAAAGCTGCTCAGAAAATCCCAGGAAATGCCATTCGTCCCAATCGGTACGTGTGTCTCTGACTGTCTGTCTGTCTCGTCTCTGGTCTGACGCTGGCATGTTTTGCAGTTGCTTCTCAGGTGGATTCCTGGAAGATACACAGTTGCTCAAGATATTGGGCAATAGGTGTGAATATAGACAATAGACCACAGGTAGTCTAAGCAGGAAATACTCGTAAAATATCCCCTGCCACGTCAAGCGAAGGACATTTCTCTTTTCTGTCTCTAACCCTTCATTCCATGGATTTGTCTGTATCTGTGCTCAGCATTTCTCTTAGCCTGTCCCAGAATAAACACATACCCCAGCAATTTAAAGCCTGGGGTTTAACCCAGGTTTATAAAGGCCAATTGCTAAATGTGTTATGGCTTAACATGCTGGCCTGATTCGTGCAAGATGTGAAGACGTGGCTAGGGTCCACACACCCCTCCCAACACAAGATATCCAAGCCCTTTTGAGCCCAAGAGTGTGGGGCTTCTCAGACTTTGCAGCGTGGGGCCCCCTCAAATGATAAATGAACTCATATGACCCCCTCCAGTAATTAAAAGGGATCCTTTCATTGGGTTAGGGTAATGCAAGAAGTAAGTATATCCCCATTAATAATTACATTTTAATTTGTACCAAGGGGTAATTAGGTGTGAGTAGCTAGCAGGGCAATCCCAAAGGGACTGTGACTCTTTAACTCATAATGGCAGCAAGTAGAGATGGAAAGTAGGACACCCGGTGATTTCAAACTTTGCAGCATTGCGGTGGTCCCCATGGGTCTGTGCAGACAAAACAGGAAGGAAAGTTTTTGACAGTGCTCCCAGCTGGCCTGCACAACCCTGATTAAGTTCAAAAAAAGAAATTGGGATCACTCCATAGCTGATGCTCCCCTTCAAGAGATTGCAATGCCTTCCTTATCCTGGGACCCTCCACAGAGTTGGACCACAGCTCTCCTCATTCCCAGGCAGCTGCGATGCCTGGAAATTATGGAGTTTCTAATTTCAAACATCCGGAAGGCTCAGGGTTTGGAAAAGTTGGCCCAGGTTATCTGGCTGGGTCCTGCTGGCCCATCGCAGTTTCCGGCTCTTGACCAGATGAGGAGCAGGAGGGAATCCAGCACTGAGGCCCCACTGAACTTGGCTGTGGGGAAAGATCTGGCACTGCGCTTGGCCCTCGATTCAGCCTACAGTCAAGATAACATGGAAGCAAATTCCTTAGTTGTTAGCCAGGGAGGTTCCTGAGTCTGCTGGTTCAGTTCTGGCTCCAGGAATCATCAGGCCTTCTGACTTTTGACAGTCAGGGGTATTTCAGAAGCTATTTGCGGATCGAGGGTGTAAGTGTCTGGAGTTCAGACGCTTGGGAGGAAAGTCTCTCAAATTCCGACAGCCTAGCAAAGCCTGTTTTCTGTGAGCCTCAGCTGTCTTTTGAATTACAGGTCCCCTCTTGTCCCCCTCCTCAGCAGTTCTCATCCAGTTCTGTTGAGGGCATTGCAAAGAGTGGCAGTTGGGGATTCCAGACCTGGTGAAGCCTTAATGAGTCTTCCTGTGCCTTTTCTAGGTATGACAGGCTTCCTAGGCCTAGCCGCCTACGGGATCTACCGACTGAAGCACAGAGGGAACACCAAAATGTCTATTCACCTGATCCACACACGTATGGCAGCCCAGGGCTTTGTGGTGGGGAGTATAATTTGTGGTAAGTCCTGAAGTGGGAGAGGATGTGGCATTGATGGGACGTGGCTGCTGGGCTTGGGGGGGAGGTGGAGCGAATGGTTTTCCTGGCAAAAGTGTGTTCCTGTTCGCTCAGGTGCCTGAGAGAGAGCCCAAGCTGGCCAAGGGCTATACCCCAATTTCCAGGGTCATAAAGCGAGCCATCTGCCCCAAGCCCATCTCCCTTCTAGCACGGAAGTGGAAATGCAGTGGTGCTGTGTGCTGCTCCCTCTGCTCTGGGCGCCCTGTTCTTCGCTCCAAGCACCTTCCCCAATACGTTGCCCCATTGCACATGATAGTTTGAGAGTGTGCAGCCAGGTAACTTCTCCCTAAGTTACATTGCTCCAGGAGGGCTGGACAGCTTGCGTGCCCACCCACCCCCGCCGGATCCCGTGCATCAACACTCTGTTGCGCTTCTGCCTGAACTGCTTTGCTCACAGTTGCTGAAATGGGTGAGGTAGTTTCATGCCTTTTTGAGACAAAGAGCAGTTTTTTTAAAAAAAAAGCCTGCAAACACATTTCTCTGTGAGAAGCTTTTAGCTCCTGACTTTAATTACTAATTTTAATTATTGATTCTACTTGTCTTCCTTTGTTTGGATTGCTACTTTAACTGCTTTCAGACACGGCCTGCATTTCAAATTAGCTTTTTATTGCAAACTGCTGAGAATCTTTGCTAGCTACAGCGCGCTAAGCTAAATGAAGACAAAGTATAGCGACTAAAGGAGACCTGGCATAGCTTAAAGAACAGCCCTCTGCCTCCTCCCCCCAATCAACAAACATTTGCCCCTCCCTGTTCAGGGAGAGAACTGGTAGATCTGGAATATGCGCTGGGGGCTATTTTTCATGGAGCTGTCCTTACACTGTGGTGTGAACCAGTTTCTTTTTCCAGCGAAGTTGCTGCTTTTCCCCTCCTTGTTGCTAACGTTCCCCCCCCTTTTTTTTGTCTTCCAGGTGTGGTCTATTCAATGATCCGGGATTACGTCTGGAAGCCCCAGCCCAAGTCTTAGGAACCCCATTGAAGCGCACCCCTCTCCTGTTCCTCTGTACTGTAGCGATAGCTTGGCAGCTGACACAGGCTGCGGTGAAAAAGAAGAGCATAGCTCTAAATTTGTACCTCTCCCACACAGCATAACTAACCTTCTCTGCTGCCAGAGTTACTTAAGATTAGATGGTTGGTGACAAAAGTCACTTTTTAATTTTTTTTTGGTTTTCCCAAGAGCACAAATTGACATTTGGTAGATCACAGCCATGTTCACTGTACACACTTGCCACGTTGGCGCTCTATGGTCTAGGCAACTCCAGACTTCCTCCCTCAGAGATGATAATTTGGAAAAGCAGGCAAGAAAGTGAAGGGTGACACATATCTGGTGTGTGTTTCACCCAGAGATGAGGAAGTTTTGACTACCTTTACCTGCTAGGTAGAAATGGATTTAAAAAGCGAATGATCAACCTGCCGATGCTAATAATTTGCTTTCTAAATCCATTTCTGTCTAAGAGCATCCATGTGACACCCCTGATGCCCAATGTTGTGTCCTGGAAAATGCCCTCCCAATTGTGTATGTGCGTGTGTGTTTTTTTTGAAGTGGTATCACTTTGTTACTTGATATTCTGTTGCTCTCACCTAAAGGTGTGCTTGTGACACAGGTGCCACTGCACAGGGAAGAAAACACCTTTGTGGCTATAATAGAACAAATGATGGGGCATTCTAACTCTTAGAACAGGAGCCTTCAACCATAGATGAAGCTATTTACAGTTTTATTTATTACGCAATATTAAACCATAAATGTTTAAATTATTTAACCAGAAAAGGCATGGCAGCTTCTTACATTAATGTTTTTATTTGTACATTCTATGTGTGTGCGTGCGTGGAAATAGGCATCACGGGTGTCCACAGGATGTGGTAAAGAAAAGTCAGAATGGCAGCCGTGATGTTGCAACTGAAGCTGCGCCCTGCATAAAAAGGTTTCTTGCAATGCACCTAAGAAGTGGCAGAGCTTCAGTCGCAATGTCACGGCTGCCATCGTATTTTGACCGCACCCTGCGGACAGTTCTACATCATGTTCCTTTTTTTAAGTATTTTGGTACAGGTGATGTTTTATGTGGAAGAAACCTGTATGTAGCAGATTGGATGGAAATCTTTGACGCACAAGCTGATGGCGGTAGAGGCCCTTAATTGCTGCTTCTGCCTTTGGGAGGTGGCTGAAACTTGTCTCTGCCTCCATCTGTGCCCCTCCCCTAAAGGCGGAGGGCGTCGTGACTTACACAGAGGGCAGGGCAGGCACGGTGGGGGTAAAGAAATCCTGCCTTATTATATTCTTTTATCGCATGTTTAGAAAATGTCCTCGCTGTGGGTCTATAATCTTCAGACATCACCATCATGTTAAGAGTTTATGGGTGGGCATCCCAGCTGTGCGAAAAGCAGGTCTGTAAAATCCTGTCTGTCCACAAGGTGCTTGCTATCCCTTGGTTGTATTGTGGTGCGAATGCTGCTGTCCAGCCCAATGTGAGTTCAACCCAGTGTTGCTGATTTTATTAAACAGTGTATGTAAGAACATTGGTAACTCAGCTGGTTTGCGTGGTCTCTTGTTCTGTGCAGTCTTTGAGTGTTTATTTTTGCTTACTTCATCTTGGTCGTGGTGCCCGCACGTAGGGTGGGCTTTCAGCAGCAGCAAAATTGGAAAAATAAAGAGCACGTGTCAAACAACATTGGAGTCTTTCACTAGGATGGATCATAAGAGAGAGGGTGGGAGAAATCTTGTTTCCTATATGATATTATTTTGGCAAGATAGGAATGTATCGGGTAGCCAATAGCAAGCTAAGATGTGACTGCAGAGATGTTTGGAGGAGTGGGCACATCTCGCTCTTGATGTTCTTTACAAACATCTCTGGGTCCTCCGACACCCTAGTGCTAAAGAGGGAGGCCCTGGTGGCATATTCCGCCATTTTGCGGGCAAAGCAATAGAAAACTGTAATGGAAGGTGCAAAATTGGCTTAATGTTGTTTTAAACCCACACAAAAAAGCTCCAAGGCTCTCCTTTCTGCCAGCCCGGGAGATTCTGTCCCTGTTGACTGCATCTTCCCCGTGCCCACTGCCGCCCAAGCCAGCCAGAACGCTTCGTCCTGGCCCTCAAAAGGGCGCCTTGATAGAGGCAGTGTTCACACAACCTCCGGTGCAAGTTGCTCCACCGTATGTGAGCGTGGTGCATCATAGACTCCTAGAATGGAAAGGGGGAAGGGGCCTTGGAGGTCATCAGGGCCAATCCCCTGACCGGTACAGGCCTCTGTTCCGCGGTTGAGCTGCTGGCTCTTACAGTTCGGGAGATCTTCCTGAGGTCCAGGTGAAAACTGCTTCCTCATAGTTTAAACCTGCTGACTCCCCTGGAGTCCGCCCCACTTTCCGCCCCATTGCAATCTCCTCAGTGCCGCAGAGTTCTTCCTTCCAGGCCCTGCGCTGTCTTGGTGGTTCTCCTCTGGACACCCCGCAGTTGGCCCATGTCCTTCCTAAAATGCAATGCCCAGAACCTTTCCCGCCCCATAATGGAGAAAAATTAAAATTATGAGTACTGCAGAATTAAACAATTTTTGGCACTCCTCTCGTGCCTCCATGTTCCAAACCAAATTATCAGCAGGGAAGAGAATGGGCTCATAGTCTTAAAAGACCAGAACATCTCCTCACCAGCAATCATCACCCAGATAAGCAGAGATTAACACCAAGATTACCACCAGACATACAAGCAGTAAACAATATACCTTAATCAAGGAACTACCAGAGGAAGAAAATAAAAACCCCACCCTCACCAACACTGGCAGGGCATGCCGCAGTATAGAAACAGAGAGCAAACCCCGTCCCATTCCAGCACTGAAGAGGTGACCTAGCCAGGTAAGAAAACAGCCAAGCTCGGAGAGCCCCCACGGACGCCACAGTCCAACCCTGAGCTACACGTATTTGCTTCTCACGTTATCTTACCACCAGGAGGCAGAGTATGACCAGTTTAATCCTTCTTGGCACTTAACCTTATTATCCCATAAACCCTGTCAAGAGGCCGGTGAAATCTATGGACTCCTTTTCAGAAAAATATATTTCAACGCATAAAATAAAATGCATGGATATGCAACTGGATGACAACGGAAACCAATTATGCCCAATGCAATTATGATCAAAATATTAAAAAAATAACAATTAGGTCATTTAGTAATCTCTGTGCTTCTTTATGAATCCATTAAATCCATAACAAGACATTATTCCTCTTTATGGTAGAATAATTTTAGAGAGAGATTTATGGAAACTAGCAAACACTTGGAGAGTCTAAAAGGCATGAATGACTCCGTCGCCTACTTCCATTATTGAATGAAAAGCTGAATTTCAGTTAGAGGTTAGTGAAAATAAAGTTGCCTTTTTTCCCCAGTTCAAGTTCACAGACCCCCTGGAATCTATTCCTGCTGCCTGGGTGGAGAGCTCCTGCTTGCTGGGATTCATTGGGTACAGGAATTCATCATTGCTGGGGCTCAAACCCCTCTACCAGGAACGGTGTTTTATATAGGGTGGCTTTTAAACATTTGCTGGAAGGGGGCGATCAAGGACCGTCGTGTTACTGCAGGGCAGAACAACGTCCCTTGTGCCAACAAAGAGGTGCTAAATCCATAAAATACGGAAGCAAAACCAGATAGGTCTGCCCATTCAAGCGGTGCACAATGATGGTGCAGGAGCAGAATTATTTTGCTTCTATTTTAGATTGGGTAGCAATTTGTACTGGGAACCCCTGGGGTCTCTGCTACCATAGGGAGAGGGGATGCTGCATCTACTGTACTTATCATTTCCATGCCAGACCTCGTTGGATTGATCTCTCTCTCTCTCTCTCTCTCTCTTTTAATTAAATATTTTAAAGAAAGAATGCAAACCATGAAACATAAAAGATGGGTAACAAAATTGAAAGAGTAAAGTACAATTTGGTAAGGCACAAAGAAGTAAACAGGGGACCTAAAAGGTCGTGGCGATGACAGTGTTTTGATAAATCATTAGTTATTTATAAAATAATGAAACGTACACTGTCCCTTTTGAAAAGAAAAATTAAAAAGTGCCGTTAAGCTTTAAACCAGGTTAAGTCAATATAAATCACTAACTAAATTTATAGGCAATAATAAATTAGATCAAAACTAGGAATCTCATAACATTGAAATATCGACCCTAGCCTCATTTCGGCAGCACCTATGCCAAAACTGGGACAATGCAGAGAGGATTAGCACGGCTCTGCTGCATTTATCACCCTTAATCGCTTGATCTGCCAACACGGGCTGCCGTCTAGGAGTGAGATCTACTGATTTCCCACAGGATGTAGACAATTCCAGGTAGACACAGGCTGAATTGTTCTCTGAACTTCCAGTCCTCTATGCCTCCGTTCCCCAATCTGATGCCCTGCAGGTACGGTGGAGAACAATTCTACCCCTCTCTGCCAACCTGGACAATCGTGCTGTACAAAAACTGTTGGCGTTGGATGACAGGAAACTGCCTCAACATCTCGAGGGAATTTCAGTTGGGTTCCTGTGATGGTATGTGGGAGACAGGAGGAAGAGCCACAGACTAAGCAACAGACAGATAAGAGGCAGCTGAGCCCTCAGAAGGACTGGGAGTGTGGAAAGCGTCCCAGAAGGGGCCCTCCCTAGTTTCTTGGGCTGTAAAGGCGAGAGGGGGAGAGATCTTCTTTCAGACTTGCAAGGCTCTGTTAATGTAACCTTACAATAAAGATAGAGCTAGTACTCCTGGGTGTGCTTCTTGTCTGGACTACCTCGCAAGGCTGACCGTTCCCCTGTGAGATGCTGGCTTTGTTTCAAAGCATAACGTGGCTGCTTATGTAGACAGGCAGATTGCTGTAGCGGTCGAACTAGATCAGTGTTCCTCAACTTCAGCCACTTAGAGATGCATGGACTTCAACTCCCAGCATGCTGGGTGGGGGATTCTGGGAGCTGAAGTCCACCCATCTTAAAGTGGATGAGGTTGAGAAACCCTGGACTAGTTGATCTCCCAGAACGGCTCTGACCCTTGCATTCTATGATCCGATGAAGTATTGGAGCATGCCACCCACTGGAGTGGCACATGCTGGCCATGTGGTGTGTACCCAGAAGCATTCTGGGGGGGAGGGAAGCAGGGCAGATGATCAAAGCAGTGTTGCCCTGCGAGGTCCGTCCCTTTTATGACATTGCAGGCCCTTAGAAAAGGGGTGGAGCTTCGGGTGTGATGACCCAACACAGATTCCGTCCTTTGGGCAAAATCCCCAGACCTTGCAGACGCCTCCGTGTCCCAAGAGCGCCTTTCCCCATGGAAAGTGCCTCTGCCAGTGGGACGCAAAGGTTGCTTTGCACATCTCGGATGCTCCCTCCGTCTGACCCCTGGGCTGCTTTTGCAAGCCTCTTAAACAAAGGAAAGGAAAGGGGCAAGCAGAGGAAAGGGGAGAGTTTGAGCAAACTTTGAAAGGGACAGATCAGCCTTCCCAAACCGGGTGACTGCCGCCGAGTTGGGTTGTAACTCCGCTGGGTGGGTTCAAGCCAAGGAGGGCGGCCATCTGTCAGCCATGCTTCGAGAGGGATTCCGGCCCTGAGTAAGGGGTTGCGTTGGGTGGCCTCAGGGTCGCTTCCAACCGCATGAGGTCCGTGCACTCCAGGCCATCACAGCTGCCCTGCCGACTGAGAGTTGGGGGAGAGATAGTCCAGCTAATCCGGCATGTACCTGCCGGGGGAAAGCTCACGTAGACAGTCGTGCGGTGTTGGAAGCAGCTTTATTTATTTGCTTATACCGATCTAGGTGAAAAGAAATCAGACTATCGACAAGAATGTTTCTGGAACGCCTTGTGAGAAGGGGCTGAAGTGGGGATCGTCCAAGGAGAGGACAAACACACAGCAAGCCCCATTTACATTTATGGTGAACTCTCTCTTGTCCGCAGATTGCTTGTCCAAACCAGTTTATTTCATTTACCCGCGCACGGGCGCATTTGTGCTCTGTATGTGTGTGAGTTCTGCCTTGCCTTCTTCTGGGCTTGCCATATTCAGTGGCTGTCACTTGAACTGCTTCCTAATTGAATTTTTACAATTCCACGCCGGCAGAGAAGCCAACGGAAGAGAAATGTAGTTCTGTGAGTGTGAAGGTCGTAGAGTTTTAAAGTCTGTTTATAGGTACCCATTCATCAAGAAATATTTTTACTGTATGTACTGAAGGAAGAGGAAACGTACTCCTCATCCTATCTGAAAGGTTTCAGTGGGGCAGAACATTTTTAGATCCAGCAAGAGCTGCCAAGTCTCTTTCATCATCCCTCACTTCAGAGGAAAAGTACAACCCTCCCTGGTTCCTTGCACACTTGTTCTGTTCCTGACTTAATCTATTCTCGGAGTTCACCGCATCACAGTCAAACAATCTGGGTTTCCAAAAGATGTTGAGCCACACACCCCCCCCAAAATGGAGAAAAATAATCCAGCTTTAAATATATTTATTTATGGCATTGATGACCTGCAATAAATAATCCCTAATCTCTCAGCGATTTACAGACATGAAACACAGCCATAAAGCGTCCTTAGTAAAAATTAACCTCGGTATAATACAAAAGCATCAAAGTAAAAAACGAAACGAAACAGCATGTGGGGACCAACTTTGATTCAAGTGGAAGACTGTCCAATAACACAGGTGCTACCAGGAGAAGCAACATCCCACGGTGT